GATGAAAACCAAGAAAATGCGATTTCCGGAAGTGGCGTGAGTATCGCGCGCGGTCGCGCCATCGTCACGATTTTTCAAATGCCCTATATGTAATCGTTCGTGCTCTGTAAACAGGCCGTTTGCTTGGATCGTGCTTTTGGAACTTGCGCGCCTGCGAAAAAGCTGTACGCGTAGGGGGTAGGGCATAGTTCACGCGATTTTAGTCGCGACATATTTGGCAATTCGTCAGAAGTCTTCAGATCCAACATTAGCAGACTGCACATGCATAGTGTATATAACTCATGTAGATTGATAAAATAACCAATCTTCTATACATTTGAAATGTGCTTACAGTGAGTTATGCACAACTGGAATAGTGCCAAATCGCTTTGCGACTGAAATCGCCTGAAGTATGCCCGGCCCTCAAGGGTGGGGCCAGATTGCGCAGCGTACGCATCGACGCAGCGCATGCTGTGCGTAAACATATGGGGTGTAAGCTGTGTACGCCAGGTACGCCCAACGGTGGCTCAATTCTATAAACTGACATAGAATAGAATGATTGTATATAGGAATTAGAATGAGATCAAGGAAAAAAGCTTGAAGTGTATATTTGAATTTCACACACGACCGGCTTCGGGCCCAAAAACTAGATCGGTAGTGTAGCTTTCCTGGTGGCCCACCATGTTTATGTTTGCCGGTTTCGGGGCTCAAAGCCGGACGCTACAAGGACGATAACCGCTTCGCTTTTAACCCCTAAAACAAAGTGCAAATTGTCCTCTGATCATCTGTGCCGGGCCCTGTATGAAATCTTCGATACGCAGTCATGATTCAACAAAAAAACTATGAGGAACTAGCTGGCAAACCCGGCTTCCGCCCCTGTCAATAATATATCCGTAATCAGCATGCTCACCTACCCCCCCCTGTGCCAACTCCCAGCCCCGTAGCTCGAATTTTTTTGAAAAATTAATAAAATCGATGTCGATCGATTACGAAAGGTAGCCTGTGACACCCGCCCGGCCCCGAAGTGTATGTGTGCAAAGTTTGGTCCGGATCGGTTCAGAAATGAAATTTTCTATTCGGAACATACGTACACACAGACAGACATACATACAGACAGACAGACATACAAACAGACATTCAGCTTTATGTAAGATATGTGAGCCAAGGGTACTTTTTAGCTGAGCTGGCGCCCGGTTGGGAAATGTGGGCACGGCCTCATTTATATAAGTTCATATTTCAGCTATAGTTCAGATTGACTCACACGCGTGTGCCCATTCGACGTCATAAGATTGCGTATTTGTTGTGAAGTAACTGTTTATTTGATGCACAATCTTGATTTTTTGCGCTGTGACAGGTTTGTTGGACATACAAGCTATGGTTTTGTCTTGTTATGAACAATGAGGATGCCCATTTGTCAGGGACTTCCCCGGCTTCCACGAAAACGATATTTTCTTTGCTTTCTTAGCCAAATCACATCCACTGCAGCTTGTGTCAGCTGTGCAGGGTCCTGTCTGCGTGTGTCTGGACAATGAGTCCGTCGGAAATCCCTGCCTAACACGTTGACAACGGTGCCGCGCAATAGGCCCCGGGAAGGCCCGGGCACTGTTGCGCGCAGTATCAATTAATAGGTCCAGTCGTTTAGTTTGTGTTCATACAATTTAGGCTCAGGATATTTCATGTTAGACCGCGCCCTTCTTTTAGCAAACTCCGCCCCACTCCGTTGTCATCAGCGAGAGACTTTCTTGTTCTCAAAGCGCGTGCAAGAGGTCTTAGGTGACTGGGAAACCCCGAGTGACTATAAAGGAGCGTCCGGGCAAAAACTCGGCTTCCGTGTTTTCGGAGTTTCTGGCCCATCATTGCGCAAATCTTTCAGAACCCTCAGTACCGGAACCGTTTTTGAAAAGTATGGACGAGTATTCCGACGCTAATTTTTGCGGTACAACGTAAAAACATGTATCACAGACGGGGATATCTAGCAGGTACAACGTGAAAATGGCGTGCGTAACCTACAATGCACCTACCGTACAGTGTTAGGGGAGCGAAAGGTGGAAGGGGAGCGGCGCTTAGCCGCCCACCTGGCTTATAGAGTGCAGATTGTCCGGGCGCTGCCTTTGACCTTGGTCCCGTCCCCGACAGGCAGACTCCGCCCCTTCAATGGCAAGCTTCCCCCGCCCCGCCTTTTCAATGCCGGAATTTGCTCGAATTCTTGAAATACAAATGCCGGCGCTATCCCAATATCCGGGCCCCAAAATTTTTTTCTCATGGATTTTGCTGAAACTTGGTCCAGAGGAGTTATTCGGCCCGCTGATGCCAAATACCACATTGGTTTTGTGCCTTAGCCTCATTTTCTCGGGTTGTGGTGGATACACGGTAACGCGGGGGGGATATAGTTCTGCCTAAACGGCGATTCGAACGATCGTGAAGCTTTGCACACATGACCACCTCCGCGCGCTACACACCCTGCTGCGGCTTTTGCCTAGGCAAAGCATAGGGGAAATATACATTTGCGATTTGTGATTTTTACCCATACCGTAAACCCACCGTAACCATGCAGGGAGATGTTTTCGTGCGGCGAAAGCGTGAAATTTCCAATCAGCATATCGAATAACCCCTCTGTGGGAAGTTACGGCAACTTTTGAGTTTTTGACTTCTTACCGTATACCAGTGGCGTACCGAGGGGGGGGGAGGGTTCCTCCCCTCCGAGAATGGGTCGCGAAATTTTTGAAAGTTACTTAAATTTGTTATAAAACTGCAGGCTTCTTGTTTTTATTCGTAAATAATCAAAATAATTTCTGAAAAATTTCAAAAATTCAGATTAGCCTTGTAAAAAAAAATTTTATTTCGAAGGCGTGGCTGTGGCCACGCCCCCTTTTTTTGAAATTTTGTGGTCAGAGGGCCGAAAAAATTTCGGAAAGCATCCCAAAAAATTTTCAGAGTGCGTGGCTAACACCACGCGCCTTCATCCGAAAATTTTTTTGGTCGCCCCCCCCCCGAGCGGAAATCCTGGGTACGCCACTGCCGTATGCCCACCGCAACCCAAGAAAATGACGCTACGGTACAAAACCAATGTGATATTCGGCGTCAGGGATGCCGAATAACCTCTCTGGGTCAAGTTTCAGCGAATTCTGGAATTTTGACCCCTTACCGTATACCTACGATAACCCGAGAAAATGATGCTACGGCACAAAACCAATGATATTAGCACCAGCGGACCGAACAGCCCTCCCCCTGGGCCAAGTTTCAGCAAAATCCATGTCAAAAAATTTTGGGGCCCGGATACTGGAATAGCGCCCAATTCCCAGCATTTTTTGCCCAGTGGGCGGGGCTTGTCGCGAGGGGCGGGGCTGCCTCGCCCACTTGTATATTCATAATTTAAGCGTAGGTCATGCATATCTACATGCAGCCAGGCGTAAAAATGCACGGAAACATCTCGTCCAGAGACAGGCATGCAAGAAAAAAGCTCAAGTCGTCAACGTGTTGAACAGCAGATTGGATATATAGGGGTATTCAATCTGATTGTCACAGTCAACGTGGTTCATGTTCTCGCGAGCAGCCTTGCTTGGGTCTCTTACGTGGTACACTACCGCTCCGATACCGCGAAGGCCTAGGTGATGCGGTCTCAGACAATCGCCGGGGGCAGGCGGGCACCGGAAAAATAGATTGCTGATCTCTCGCACCCCGCTCGCGGATTTTTTGGAAAGCAATCAGGACTTTTCGGATGACCGCTTGCTGAGTTCTCGATTCCTCAGAGATTCAGCAATATTTCTGCAAAAGATAAGAGCGAAAAAAAATTCAACAGGCGGTCTTTCAAAAATCCGCTGACTCAGCAAGCGGTCTTCCGAAAAGTCCTGATTGCTTTGCAAAAAATCCGCGAGCGCGGTGCGAGAAATCAGCAATCTATTTTTCCGGTGCCCGCCTGCCCCCAGCGATTGTCTGAGGTGTTGTACCACGTGGGAGACTCAAGCGAGGCGGCTCGCGAGTATCTGAACAACGTCGACTGTGAGACTCAGATTGAAAGCCCCCGTAGATAGAATAATGAGAGGCACAACCACTAAGAAGACCGTAGGTGAGAAGCGAGAGAGGGGAAATAGGTAACGCTTGTGCTGGGGTCTACGCTCACTAAAAACAGGCCATTTAGACTGAAAAGTACATATCCACAAACATCAGTCCAAACAAACATACAGCTTTCAGCTTCATGTACAATGTCAGTTTTTGCTCGTTAGTTCAGTATTGAAGGGTAAGTGTGCTCTTGAATGTGGATATGCGATAATTTAGATTTTTAAGCTAACGAAAAATTAAGTCTTTTTTTACACCTTCTACCGCTGTACATACCTGCACGCAAATTTCCGACAGAAATCTCATTTTAAAAATAAGATGACGTATCGGGTAGGAGAGTCTGTTTGAGAGGAGACAATACCTCCACGCGGCTACAATGCTAGCGTAGCTGGACATTGTCATGAAAGAAGGAATTGGCACTAACGCAAAAAACATTGAGCCTTTCTTTTCGTATTGTTCTGTCTGTACTGTCTTACCGATAATAAGAGCTTAGTTTAGTTTGAAAAAAATTACATAAAGTCATGGAAACTGTAAAATTCATTTATTTTCTAATATGTGTTCACAACACAACTGGGATTTACCATGCGTGGTTTGACTGGTGTTAAACAGCTCATCTGTAATCAAGCTGTTGCAAAAGTAATGAGCGATCCTTATGCTACAGCCTCAGCGTGAATATTATTGTAATTGCAGGAAGTTTTCGATAGAGCAAAACAAGCTCTACAGGCTGCTAGCAGATCTTCCTGAAGTTTCTGTTGGGATTGAAGTTCACTTAAGTTGGGAGCCAACATCAAAAAATGCTCCGTTCCTGAAAAATGCAGACCTATCTTTACTTTTACTTGGTCATCATGGTGCAGACCCATAGTAAAATACATAATTCAGTCGTTGAATTTCATCAAGAGTAAAAAATAGGTAAGAAACGAGTGTCGCCGCTGGCGGTTTTTTGGCCTATCGGGTAATGTCTCCATGTTTTCATACCGACACTGTGGCTGCTGAAAATTCACTCATTACTTTTGCACCAACGTAATAAAACTAGGGTACGATTTTCCGCCATCTGGAAATGTTTTTTGCAAGAAGTCGTCTAAAGAGTTGTGGTATGTCTATAGGATTTTTTCGTGCTGGAGTCTGTTGTGAACAGTAGATTACCTGAAATGATATCACATTTTTTAAGTCCATGTATTCGGAATGAGAAGGCATACGTTATTTTCTGTCAAGATGCTATTATGCAGCCGGTCGCAGTACTCAAAAAAATCTTTGAATTTGTTGATCAGCTGAACAATTTGAAAGCCGTATATAGTGTGGTACAAAAATTATATCACTCACAAATGCATAAGCTTTGTCAATCTCCATGCGCTCCGCATGTGCATTGACTATAAGTAATCCTGGAATTTTGTCAATCAATACGTATGCTTTCATGATAATGCTATCGCTTGATACGATAAAAGAGGCTCCTTTAACGAAAATGGAACGTTTTCCGCGTAACTTCTGATTTTGAAGCAAAGAGTGGTGAAGGATAAGACAGCCGTTGCAAACTCTTCGTAATACATTACTTCTGAAAATCCTTCATATCCATTGAATACTTCATCCGATTCAACACATTTCAGACAGCGAATTCGCTCGGCAAAAGAACGCACTTTTGCTTTAGGTCTGTATGCACGTACATCCCCTTTGGGGAGGGGAGGGGATCTGAGAGGAAATGTGCTCCTTATCTGGCTACTCTAGATATCTTTCTTCTTCCTTCTCTATCTTGCTTGTGGAGGTTCTCATACCCTAATACCTGCACATAATTGATGCCAGGTTACTGGCATAATTGATTTGATTTCCACTATTTTGTGGAAATCAAATCAATTGTGTCAGTAAGAGAGGTTCTCCCCAGGGGATCCTCAGGGGATCACCTCTCAACTTCAATGCCCTTATCTTCCTGGAAACTCAAGGAAACGCTGCAAAATTGTGCTGCGGGTATATTACGCACTGCTAAAGATGTTCATAGTAGAAATAAATAAAAACTCAGGATATCGAGATCTTCGGTAATCCCTAGCGCGTGAGTTAGGGATCACCGAAAAATTCACAATCTTCAGATTCCATTTCTTCTGTCGAAAATATGCTTAGCAATGCCGTGGTATATCCTCAGTACAATTTTATAGCTTTTTTATCGACTTTTTAGGAATATAGATCACTTTGAAAATAAGGGCCGCATGCACTAACATCCTCGCGGGGAGGGGATCACAGTTTAAAAGAAAGCTTTATATTTCGAAACTCCAGATTCCTGGATTTCACGTTGTGTACCTATCCGTAAGTTTTCCTGTCACCCTTCACTATGAACATGTTGAACAGGAGCGAGAAGCTGTACGAACCGCATTTTCCAGCTTTTGTATGATCCTTGATGATCCCCAGCACTTTTCTTTAGAGTCATTTTTCTCTCTCCGAAGTTAACGAAAACCTTCCAAAGTTGTACTGAACATCTAACACAACAGTGCTAAGCATGTTGCTGATGAGAACAAATGAATTTTCAAAAAATCGAGTTTTTCGGTAAACCTCAAATTTCGACCTGTGGATCATCGGAAATTTCATGACTTCAAAACATCATTTGTTCTTATCAGCAACATGCTTAGCACTATGTGTTAGATGTTCAGTACAACTTTGGAAGGTTTTCGTTAACTTCGGAGAGGAAAAAATGACTCTAAAGAAAAATGCTGGGGATCATCAGGGATCATACAAAAGCTGGAAAATGCGGTTCGTACAGCTTCTCGCTCATGTTCACCATGTTCATAGTGAAGGGTAGTAGGAATACTTACGGATAGGTAGACAACATGAAATCCAGGTATTTGGAGTTTCGAAATATAAAGCTTTCTTTTAATCTGCGATCCCCTCCCCGCGGGGATGTTAGTGCATGCGGCCCTAAGAGGTGATCGGGGATCCCCTGAGGATCGCACAAAATGGCAAAAAACCAATCTTGTGTGGAAGTAACTTTGTATCCATTATGCGCAGGTATAAGTGTATGAAAAATTTTATAAGCAAGATAGAGAAAGAAGAAGAAAGAACGTAGAGTAGCGAGATATGGCGCATCCCCTCTCAGATCCCCTCCGTTCCCCAGCGGGGATGTCGTGCATACGGGCCTAAGATGTGCATCTCCAAACTGAAAGCCAGTTCGACTCGTTTTCGCTTCCTTGTCAGTCTAGAATGTGCTACTCCCTCTTTTCTTCCAAAGTTCTTTTACTTAACGCGTTTTGGGTCGGTGCTGCACATGCTGCACCACGCCGTTTTACAGGGTTTTCTTGAATCTAACTAAGTTCTGTCATACTCCTCGGATATCAAGCTGAAGGCCTAAGCGTTTATTTCCAAGTGAACTTTGTGAAGCAATTGCCATTGCTCGGGTAGAGGACATTATGTCGCCGAATAAGTAGGTCATACGAGGACATTTGCACAAATGGCGAACTCTACACATCATAGCTCGTGGTAGTGATGTGTAGAGCTGGACGCGGGGGTAGATCTTATCGGTGACTTAATGTTCTCTACCCTCGTTACTTGTTTAGAGATAAAATGACAAATAGAAAGAGGTTTCAGCGTGCGGCTATGCGAACGACGCGTGACGTCGCATTGATTTGCTTTATTTTCCCAAAAAAGTTTTTATAGTGCCAGTGCGTATTGTGTGAGACATAGGTGGACTTGCTTACCATACGATATTGAGATCTTGTTTCTACCTATCAGAAACGAACAATAATCCTTTTCAGGTAACAAATTTCAGTGAACTCAATTATTCGAAATGTTCATCACAGATATAGCTCTTCTACAAAATAGGTCTCTTTGCTGACTAGGGCCTGTATGCACGACATCCCCGCTGGAAAAGGGAGGGGTCTGAGAGGGGATGCGCCATATCTCGTTACTCTACGTATCTTTCTTCTTCTTCCTCTATCTTGCTTATAAAGTTTTTTCCATACTTATACCTGCGCATAATGGATGCCAGGTTACTTCCACACAAGATTGGTTTTTTGTTTTTTGGTTTTTTGAACGTGCATACGGGCCTTAGAAGGTCAATCGAGACTGTTAACATATCTGATTTCCAAACCTGCGAAAAGGTTCTGTGAAAAGAATTAGGGACCTTTGTATCCAGAGGTTTTGCTCCCTATACATGCGGATACGAGTAATTACGCATCATTACTACGGCAGAAATATGTTTTAAAGCGCAATAATAACAGAATCTTCCAATATTCGCTTGATATGATTTTCAAATAGAATCAAAAAATTTGCAAAAAAACGCAAAAGAAGAAAAAAAACGCAAAAAATGTGTACCCGCGGACTTTGAACCCGCCACCTTATGGCTGAGAGCCACCTGTTCTTCCAACCGCAATAACAGCGATTCTATCAATGGCGCATCATTACTCGCACTCGATTCGACAGACAAGGCAAAACCTATAGATCCAGGAGTCCTCTTTCACAGGGCCGTGCCATTTGACAGATTTGGAAAGCGGATACCATATCAATGTCTCATACTAACCCATGTTGTTATATAATATCTTCTTGTTAAACGCCATTGCGACTTAGTATCCTTTACTCGTGAGACAATTTTTTCGCCCCATTCATGCAACAGATGTGGTCATGTAATTATCAAAGACTGCTTGGAGAAATGGATCGCGGAGAACATTTTTCTCGCTAGAAACTTAGCTTACCTTGCTTAGGAAGCAAGGCAACAATATCTCTCAGAACGCTTCCATTAAGAAAAGTGTCGAGGGGACAGACAATCCCTTCCATTTGTTCCGACGAGCATGCGTCAAGTAAGACTGCATCGTACAATGCCCCTAAATCTAATTCCTTTAACAATTCCCCTATCATCAGAATAGTTGCATGCCTTCTGTTGCTGCTTCAGCTATAAATTTAACACCATCCGCCACCACAACACGTTGATAATTATTTTCAACAAGACCAAACCATTTCCTGGCCATTTTCACCATTTCTTGGCTAATTTCCACCACAGTTATATTCATCTAAAAATCACACATTCTTTAACCGACCATTTCTTCATATAATTGAAACGACGTGGGGAAAGAGATCGTGCAAGAAACCGTTGACAGTACCACCTCCAAGACCAATAGAAAGGATGTTAGCCTTACACTTATCAGAAAACTCGATGAGATCACTAAGAAACAGCGCCTCTGAAAAGTTACATTATACTCAGTAAATGCAAGGACATAATTCTTAAACGCCACCAATCATCATATAGTGATATCCATAGATTTGATGCGTCATTCTGTTCAATTTCCATTGCGAAGTATCAATAGACTTTTCCGTTAGTTCTGGAAAAATCGTTCCAGCAATTGTAACTCTATTAGAAAGCCAATATAATTGGATAATCTAACAAATCAAAAAAATCACCGTACGTTAAAAATGAAATTGCTCGAGAATACACAGAAAATTGGGTGTTTTTTTTTTGCCATAAAGGGTAAGCTTATATTAGGTTGGTTCATAATTAATGCACGTTTTCTCAACTTCCACTTGTAATGAAGATAATTCTTTTTTAAAACAATCTTTCTAAGCGCATTAAAGAACTGTTGTAAACAGCAAACTTTGAGCTAAACAACAGATACTTTTGTGTGATTCTACTCATCATGAGAAAGATTTTCCTGCTCAAAAATTACCGAATTTTTTCTGGAAAGCTCTACTTTGAAAGAGCATAACTTACTCTCAAAAGGACTAGAATGGAGCAAACTCTGCTCATTGTGTAGCCGATGGTCGAATCAATAGAAGCGTGGAACTTGGCTTTTACCAAAAATTTTCTGCGAAAAAAATATTGCCAAGAAAGCAAAGGTACCCCTTTCTCCTGCATTTTTCAGAAGGCAAAAAACTGTATTTTTTAGATTCCTCCAATTTTTCTCATTTGAAAAACGAGGAGACTCTGCCGTTTTCCTGTCATTAGTAGTCCTTGATCTACTCTACCAGAATCAAGTGAAAGTTCTGTAATTGCTTTTCACGTAAGCATTTTATAAAGCTCCGAGTGATCCCAGCATTCAGCTAAGTTTGAGTCAAAGCTTCTGGACTCAGAATTTTTAGAAAATCCAGCCTTGGTGAGCATTTTGTAGCACAAATCTTTGCGATCATAACACATATTTTTTGAAACAAATTTGAGCATTTTTATGGATTTCTACGTTAAGGTACGCTAACCATTCTTTGTCGGGTCTCTCGCGCGTAAAACTGATGCTGGAGCACAGCTGATTGGGAATATTGAAACAAATATCCAGCTCTGCTTGCGTAGAACATACTGTACAGCAGTCTTCTATATATCCTTACTATAATATACATTCGATCCTTTCAAGCGCGACGGCAGAGTTTTCTGCGTCCCTCCTATTCTTAACCCCAGCGTGACGGAGGGTCCAGTTGCTGAAGGAATCCAGAAAAAGGAATGCGAAAATATAACGGTGCTTAGTGATGGCGAGAGGAGAGGCCAGTAACCATTATGCCGGCGAGAGATTCGCTCGCACTATGGGTCCCGTGCGGAGCGGAAATTTTTCAACATTGAGCTAAGCGGCTACCATTTGACACAGGGGGTACGTGTGAAGGCTGATCACAAAAACGTTACATTTAGAATTACCGATAATCTATATGCGGTATACAGGTAGTCATTATTCTGGGCGAGATATTGTTGTTGTGTTTCTGTCACAGTGGCTCTCGCCGATGGGGGTACGAAGAAAGTTATTGATCGCTTGTGTCATTTTGTACTGTCGTGCACGCATGCAAGCGTTATTTTGTTACCTACTGGAGCTCACGGCTCTTATTTGACTCTTCATGGGACTTTTCTTCACAAAAAGTTAACCTTCTGTGGAGTAGAGCCTTCCCCACAAATATCAGCAAAATCCCCACTAACTCTGCCTTACAGAACAACCATGCTAAAAATTTGGCTTCCTCAGCGGAAGATTGAGCATTCAATTAATTTTGGCCCGGATGGGTGGCAAAAATCGGCGTTCTCTGAAGTGGGGCCTCATTTCGAAAGTTTCATTCTCTTTTCCGCTCAAATCCCATCTGTAATCACGGAAAACTCACCTATTGGGATACTGCTGACAAGCTAATTTTCTTTTTCTAGCGAAAAACTGAGCATTCAAGCAAATTTTTCGAGGGAGTTCTAATTCGTGAGCATCCAGATTCAACGTCTTGTGTAAATGGAGATCTCACGTAACTTTCCATCCCCTTTTCCCTAAAAGGTCAGAGAAATACGCGAAAAACTCGTTTTTTGAATATTGCTGAACATTACTGGCGACGAACTGAGCCTTCAGTCAGGTTTTGAGGGAGATAGCGTTGCATTCAAGTGATTTTCGTCCGAGGGTCTACAAAAAATGATATTTATGGAGTGGGGTTTCGTTTTCATAGGTTTTATCCCTTTTTGCTGAATGGTCAGGGAAATTCCAAAAAAGCTCATTTTTTCGAATATTGCTGAACCTTCCCAGCGGCAAACTGTGCCTTTAGTCATGTCTTGAGGGGAGTTAGTGGTTCCAACACCGGTGAAGAACGTATTTGTGACTGGGTTTCGTTTTAAAGTTTTCATCCCCTTTTTCCCCAAAGTTCAGAGAAATTCGTGAAAAACTCGTTTTTTGCTGAACTTTCCTAGCGGCGTACTGAGCCTTCAGCCAGGTTTTGAGGGGAGATAGTGTTGCATTCAACTAATTTTGGCCCCGAGGGCCGACAAAAAAAGATATTTGTGGAGTGAGGTTTCGTTTGCATAGGTTTTATCCCTTTTTGCTGAATGGTCAGCGAAATTCCAGAAATGCTCATTTTTTCGAATATTGCTGAACCTTCCCAGCGGCAAACTGTGCCTTTAGTCATGTCTTGAGGGGAGCTAGTGGTTCCAACACCGGTGAAGAACGTATTTGTGACTGGGTTTCGTTTTAAAGTTTTCATCCCCTTTTTCCTCAAAGTTCAGAGAAATTCGCGCAAAACTCGTTTTTTGCTGAACTTTCCTAGCGGCGTACTGAGCCTTCAGCCAGGTTTTGAGGGGAGATAGTGTTGCATTCAACTAATTTTGGCCCCGAGGGCCGACAAAAAAAGATATTTGTGGAGTGGGGTTTCGTTTGCATAGGTTTTATCCCTTTTTGCTGAATGGTCAGGGAAATTCCAGAAATGCTCATTTTTTCGAATATTGCTGAACCTTCCCAGCGGCAAACTGTGCCTTTAGTCATGTCTTGAGGGGAGCTAGTGGTTCCAACACCGGTGAAGAACGTATTTGTGACTGGGTTTCGTTTTAAAGTTTTCATCCCCTTTTTCCTCAAAGTTCAGAGAAATTCGCGCAAAACTCGTTTTTTGCTGAACTTTCCTAGCGGCGTACTGAGCCTTCAGCCTGGTTTTGAGGGGAGATAGTGTTGCATTCAACTGATTTTGGCCCCGAGGGCCGACAGAAAATGATATTTATGGAGTGGGGTTTCGTTTTCATAGGTTTTATCCCTTTTTGCTGAATGGTCAGGGAAATTCCAAAAAAGCTCATTTTTTCGAGTATTCCCAAATCTTCATAGCGGCGTATTGAGCCTTCAGCCAAGTTTTGAGGGGAGATAGTGTTGCATTCAACTAATTTTGGCCCCGAGGGCCGACAGAAAATGATATTTATGGAGTGGGGTTTCGTTTTCATAGGTTTTATCCCCTTTTGCTGAATGGTCAGGGAAATTCCAAAAAATCTCATTTTTTCGAATATTCCTAAATCTTCCTAGTGGCGTACTGAGCCTTCAGCCTGGTTTTGAGGGGAGATAGTGTTGCATTCAACTGATTTTGGCCCCGAGGGCCGACAGAAAATGATATTTATGGAGTGGTGGTTCGTTTTCATAGGTTTCATCGCTTTTTTGCTGGGTCAAGGAAATTCCAGAAAAGCTCATTCTTTCGAATATTGCTGAACCTTCCCAGCGGCGTACTGAGCCTTCAGCCTGGTTTTAAGGGGAGATAGTGTTGCATTCAACTGATTTTGGCCCCGAGGGCCGACAGAAAATGATATTTATGGAGTGGTGGTTCGTTTTCATAGGTTTTATCCCTTTTTGCTGAATGGTCAGGGAAATTCCAAAAAATCTCATTTTTTCGAATATTCCTAAATCTTCCTAGCGGCGTACTGAGCCTTCAGCCTGGTTTTGAGGGGGATAGTGTTGCATTCAACTGATTTTGGCCCCGAGGGCCGACAGAAAATGATATTTATGGAGTGGTGGTTCGTTTTCATAGGTTTTATCCCTTTTTGCTGAATGGTCAGGGAAATTCCAAAAAAGCTCATTTTTTCGAATATTCCTAAATCTTCCTAGCGGCGTACTGAGCCTTCAGTCATGTTTTGAGGGGAGATAGTGTTGCATTCAACTGATTTTGGCCCCGAGGGCCGACAGAAAATGATATTTATGGAGTGGGGTTTCGTTTTCATAGGTTTTATCCCTTTTTGCTGAATGGTCAGGGAAATTCCAAAAAAGCTCATTTTTTCGAATATTCCTAAATCTTCCTAGCGGCGTACTGAGCCTTCAGCCTGGTTTTGAGGGGAGATAGTGTTGCATTCAACTGATTTTGGCCCCGAGGGCCGACAAAAAATGATTTTTGTGGAGTGGGGTTTCGTTTGCATAGGTTTTATCCCTTTTTGCTGAATGGTCAGGGAAATTCCAAAAAAGCTCATTTTTTCGAGTATTCCCAAATCTTCCTAGCGGCGTACTGAGCCTTCAGCCTGGTTTTGAGGGGAGATAATGTTGAATTCAACTAATTTTGGCCCCGAGGGCCGACAAGAAATGATTTTTGTGGAGTGGGGTTTCGTTTGCATAGGTTTCATCGCTTTTTTGCTGGGTCAAGGAAATTCCAGAAATGCTCACTTTTTCGAATATTGCTGAACCTTCCCAGCGGCAAACTGTGCCTTTAGTCATGTCTTGAGGGAGTTAGAGCTCGCGAGCAAAATTGATTTTGGTTCCAAGACTGGTGAAGAACGTATCTGTGGCTGGGTTTCGTTTTGAAGCTTTCATCCCATTTTTCCTCAAAGTTCAGAGAAATTCGCGCAAAACTCGTTTTTTGCTGAACTTTCCTAGCGGCGTACTGAGCCTTCAGCCTGGTTTTGAGGGGAGATAGTGTTGCATTCAACTAATTTTGGCCCCGAGGGCCGACAGAAAATGATATTTATGGAGTGGTGGTTCGTTTTCATAGGTTTTATCCCTTTTTGCTGAATGGTCAGGGAAATTCCAAAAAATCTCATTTTTTCGAATATTCCTAAATCTTCCTAGCGGCGTACTGAGCCTTCAGCCTGGTTTTGAGGGGAGATAGTGTTGCATTCAACTGATTTTGGCTCCGAGGGCCGACAGAAAATGAT